GGGGCTGAGTTATCGATTAATTGGTGATCCAGGAGGATAACCCCATCTTCTGGCATCTCTTGTTGGCAAGGAGAAGCGTAGGCTTAGCGGCTCTTCGCTGCTGCTTCTGATTAGTTGTGTGAGGCGTCAGCCACCTTCTACTGCCAGTACCTGGCACGGCGCCAGTTGGTGGGACCCTCCGATCAGAGAGTCCCAACCCTCCTCACCTGCCACACCATTTTACAGATAGGGCAGCTGAGGTCCGGGGCATGGAAGGATTTGCCAAAGAGCACTAGGAGCGGCAGAAGCCAAGAACCAGGCTTGCCTCCAGAGCGTTGCGGGGGACACGGCTGGCATTCCCGCGCCACAGCGGGAATGCTGAGGCCCTGACAATGTGTGACTTGCACAAGCCCCCACGCTGGCAGGTGGCCACGTGGGGCCTGGAACAGATGGCTGGCTAAGCCCAACATCCATGCTGTTCCCACTGCACAGCCCCGGCTGCCACGAATAATGGATACAACTGGGTGTCTGCCTTACAGGAGCTCCTAGCCTCTTGGGGGAAATGGACATGTACAAATACAAAGTGGACTTTGGGCTGTGTCCTGGGAAAGGGGGTGTGGGGGCCCAGGGGAGGAGCGGTTAGGCCCATCTAAGGAAGGTGGCTTTGGGCTGGGCTTCAAAGGATAGGTAGGATTTTGATGGCCAAGGATGGAGTGCAGAGCAAGCATCTAGGCAGGAGGAAAGAGCAGGGACAAAAGCAGAGAGGCAGGACGGTGCATGTGGGGAAACAGAGAAACCAAGAATTATTGGAGCCTGCTAGTAAATCCCGTCTCTGTTCCAGGAGCTTTAGTCACTTAATTTGGATAATACTCCCACGAAATAGGTGATATTCTTATCGCTACCATTTTACAAATGAGGAATCTAAGGTACAGAGAGGTTCAGTAACTGGCCCAAGATCACGCAGCTAGTTAATGGTGGCTGTGGGACCAGAACCCTGGGCAGATGAGCTCCATTCGGCCAAACCCCTTGTTAGTGGTTAAACTCTTGCTGGAGCTGAAGATGTAGGGGGAGGCAGGAGTGGAGGTTAAGCAGTGTGTGTGTGTGTGTGTGTGTGTGTGTGTGGCCAAGCACTGTTCTAAGTGCTTTATGGATATTGTTCATTTGAAACAATGAACCATAGGACGTGGGTTCTGCTATCACCCCCATTAAACAGAAAAAGAAATGGAGGCACGGGGTCTCTAACTCACAGGGTGTCACAGCAGCAGAGGCAGGATGTGGAGTGAGGCTGTCTGGCTCTGTGGCTTCTTGGTCTCAGGGAGCCCCAGGACAGTTGGGAATAGGGAAGTGTACTGTGGGGTGACTCACGCAGGAGACTCAGCTGTCCTGGGGTTGTCCCTGGGGGTCCTGCTACCCTGGGCTTTGGAAAGGGGACCGAAGATGAAAGGGGTCTCTGACCTAAGAACTGAAACCAGATGTGGCTCGGTGGCCCAGAATGTCCACCTGTTGGGGACCTGGGACTCAGCCTGAGCCTTGCCAGTTTGCTAGCCTCGAGCCACGCCTCAGGCATATCAATCGCTTCGGCCTCTCTGAGTCTCCGTTTCCTCATCTCAAAAATGGGAATGAGAGGTGTCCTGGGATCTGGGAGGCCTGGGTTCTAGCTTGGCTCTGCCTGATTGGCTGGGGACATGTCTGGGCAAGCCCTGCCCGTCTCTGGGCCTCCGTGTCCCCACTTGCACAATGAGATGAGGATACGGGGGCCCAGCAAGGGCCAGTGACTTACCCGAGGTTGGGTGTATCAACTGAGCTGGAGCTGAAACCCAGGTCTCTGCCCGCCCCCCCCCCACCCACCACTCCCAGAAGGACCCTCGACTCCCAGATGAGAGAGACCTCAGCCACTGCAGTGGCACCTTGGCACAGGCCTTGCTTGTGAACTCTGTTCCCTCCTGTCCTCTCTTCCACCCTCTCCCCCCATATCCTCATCCCCAGATATACCAAAATGTTTTCAATTAGGGGTCTGCTGCAGTGAGGCAAGCCGGAGGAGATGTCCAGACGGGCAACTCCCCCGCCTCCCACCATAATCCTTGATTACCTCCCCGAGGGGGACTTAGTTAGAAACGGTCATTACCACTAATTACCAGATGACCGCATTGCCCTCCTCAGGAGTGGAATCCGCTGCCTCCTGCCTCCTGCCTCCTGCCTCCTGGTCTCCCGGCCTGCACACTGCGGCTGGCCGCTCTGTGCACATCACTCTCTCCAGCCGCCCCTGGCCCACCAAGGATCTGCAGACCTCTTCCTATCTGTCCTCTGCCCTCCTTGGCAGTCTGGGCCTCATCTGGGAGCGTCCTCACTGGGCTGTCCCTTGTAGTACCTCCTCTCACCGCCGGCTGGGGAGGCGGAGGCTTATTGACTCCAGAACTGGACAGACTGACACCCTGAGTGGCCCAGGTCCTCGGGCAGCAGGGGCACAGAGCTCCCCTCCCTCAGCCACAGCATAGGGTTGCATAGGGAGCCAGAGCTGAGCTCCCCAGGGAAAGGCTGGGCCTACATTGTCCACTTCTTGGCTGGAGCAGGAACCCAGGGAAAAGACCCAGAACGCAGCCACACTGCTTGAGTGCCCACTGCATACCTCGTACCGTGCGGGGCATTTTCTTGCATACATCATATAATCCTTTCTGTTGTGAAACCGCAGACTGGCTCAGAGGGGAAGGAAGAAATCTGGGCAAGGATGACGGGCAGAGTGGGCTCAGGACAGGCTGAGTGTTGACAGCCCCCAGCCCGGCAGAGAGGGGACCCGGGAAGGAGAGGCCAGGTCTGCGGGAAGATGGTGTTGGGAGGAGACCGAGCATCCGGGTACCAGAGCTGTCCCTGTGTCCTCCTCTGTACAAAGTGGGGGGGGGGGGGGGGTGTAATCTCCCAGGCTGCCCCCTCGGGGTGCTGTGAGAAGTGGATGGGGCGAGAGATTCTGCCGAGTGGGGAGTGCTGTGCCTACATGGGGTAGTGTGTGCATGGTGTTTGCTAAGCACAGGTGGAGGGGCTGGACCAACCAAGAAACAGGCTGTGTGGATGACGTCCGCCTCTGTGTGGCCACACCTCACCCGGTATGGGCTATGAGGATTCCGCCCGGAGGTTCCCTGAGGTGACCTGGCATAGACAGGCCTCAGTGGCTCAGAGGGCCCTCCTCAGAGGGAGGACCAGATGGCTCGCTTTAGCTCAAGCAAACAGGCCTAAGATCTGCGCCCAGACACGCCAGACATTTCCCTGCTCACAGTTGGGAGGATGGGGACGGACCAGGGGTAACAGTGAGGCAAGACTGCCTGAGATACCCACAATCGATCTCAGGGCTGGCTTGTGCCAACCGGACTGCAGACATCACATCAGGGCATGCCCACTTGTCCTGGGTCGGCTTCCCAGGCCTCTGGGAAGACTTCTGTACTTTGGAGTTGTAGGAGGGGTGGGACATGGCGAAGTGAGAGGCAGGGGGGAACAGACTAACTTATTAGGACTTAATGTAGCACCTATTTTCTCTCTTGGGCCCTCCAAGACCTCTAGGAGTTCCCACTTTGTAGGTGATGCTCAGAGAGGTACAGCAATCTGCCCGAGATTATACAGCAGATAGAGGGCAGTGCTGGAGCTAGAACCCCTCTGATCCCCTTTGGTCCAAGATTCACCTGGCAATAAGCAGAGGCCATCCCGCTTATGGATGTTCAAGATGTTTTACATATGTTATGATACGGAAGTCTTGCCATCACCTTTTAATGTAGAAATTGTCATTTTGGGAGCTCAGTCGGTTAGGCAACCGACTCTTGATTTTGGCTCAGGCCATGATCTCACAGTTTGTGGGATCGAGCCCTGCCTTGAGCTCTGCACTGACAACACAGAGCCTGCTTGGGATTCTCTCTCCCTTTCTCTCTGCCCCTCCCCTGCTGGCTCACTCCCTCTCTCTCTCTCTCTCTCAAAATAAATAAACATTTTTTTTTAAATTATCACTTTCTTATAACAGATGAGGACCATGAGGCCCAGAGAGGTTGGGTAACTTACCCATGTCACACAGCTGTGCCCTAAGCCTAGGCTCTTCCCTAGGCCAGCCCATGAGCTGGAACCTTTGGGTCATTGCCTTATTACTGTTGAAAGGCCTATGTAGCCATTAGACTAGGAGCTCCTTGAGGAAAGGATCTGTGTCATGTTCATTATCAAATGAGTCCAGAAAGAGCTGGTGCTTAGTAAATATTTCTTCCACAAGTAGATCAAGTTCATTTATTCATTTAGGTACAAGAGCAAGGGGAAAGGCATTCCTGGCATCAGGAAAAGCCTGGGCAAACACATGGTAGCAGGGCCGTCCCTGTTAGAGAAGCCAGGAGTCTGGTATGGCCAGATATTAGGGCACGCCGGGGACGAGGACAAGAGGCTGGAGAGGGCTTAGGGGACCAGGTTTGAGGCAGCCCTTGGCTGTGACTAAGTGGGTACAGGAAGGAAAAGACCACCAAGGCCGTGATTGTAGTAACTTTCCTTACTGGGCACTGACCAGCTGTGTCAGCCCTGGGCAGAACACATGAGGCTCACGGAGTTACTCCCCCAGGTAATGCTGAGAGGTTGCTGGGCTAGGAGAGGCCAAGAGACTTGTTCAAGGTCACAAAGGGAATGACACATCCAGGAGTCTACCCTGGCATGTGCTGTTCTTTAGCAAGGTGCTACCTCCCTTAGGATGCCGGGGCAGGGGTTCTGGATCTCGGCCTCACCAGGTCTCAGCCCTGACCCTGGGTGAAGACCGTGGGGGCTCGCAGCAAGCAGGGCCCACAGCACTGTGGCTGCAGATTGGCCCATCCTTGTCCCCGGCTCCTCCAGGGTCTCTGCTGGGTTGCTGAGGGCCAGCTGGCTCTGGGGCAGGGGATAAGTCTATGCAGAACCCTTTAAGGCTGTTGGGGTCCCTCTACCCTGCGCTCAGAGGAGGTGCTGCCTGATGCAGCCTGCTCCTCAGAGAAGGCCTGGCACAAATGTGGATCCAGGACCCTGGTCCTAGAGCCTTGCAGTCCCAGTGCCTAGAACCAGGATCTGGGAAGCTCTTCAGTCCTATAACATCACCAGGTTCAAAGGGACCCCCAGGCCAGCATTTCCCAAAGCATGGATGAGGTCAGTGCCTCTCAAACAAAGGGCTTTGTGCTCAGCAAGGACTCCAGAGTTCAACAAAACCAAGCCTGTTGTGTTGCTTGGGACTTCTCAGGGCCTTTAAAATGCAAATGTGCATTAATTACTCTCCAAAGGGAAACATAGTAGATCATGTTCCCCAAATGTGCTTCACCATGGATCCCTTCTTTCAGTGTCTCACTGGAACACGTTCTGGGAAATACACTTTATAGGTACGGACACTGAAGCCCAGAAAAGGGACAGTGATTTATCGAAGGGCACACAGCAAATGAATGACTTAGTCCCATTTATTGCAAAATTGAGTGGCTGTTTTATCCTTTAATAAATCCCAAGCATGTGTGTGGAATTTTACAGCCTAATAAGTAGTTTAATAATTAAATGAAGCAATGTATGGTAAGCTCCTAACTCATATGTGCATCTAGTAAGCGCTCAATTAATAGTGTGTATTATAATGATAGTGATTGTAATAATCTAGCATTTAGCACAGTGTCTGGCCCATTTGGTGTTCAGGGTCGAATGAATGTTAAATAAAGAGAAATAATTCACAGCCGTGTGAGAGCTAAATAAAGCCGTGGGTGTGCACACTTTGTGGGCTGTGAAACTGTTTATTGTTAATATAATTACAGTAAAGTGTAGGTAGGATGGAGGTCATGATCCTGCATTATGAATGAGGCCCTGGCCCAGAGAGGGACAGCGATGTGCCCAAGGTCACAGGGAACGGAAGGGGGAGCCATTGCTCTGCTGGGGCCAGGTCTTTGCCTCTTAGTTTCCAAACTCCTTCCAGCAAAGGCCCCTGAACCCATTCATTGCGCAAGGGCTGAGAGCAGTAGGGCAGGTGTAGGCAACGTGGCCCCTCACGCTCTGTCTTTCCTTCTCTTGGTTGTTGCCCTTCGGTGGTGTGCAGGGCGCTGTCCAAGACCCCGGCGGCCCTCGCGCTGAACCAGACGCAGCACTGCAAGCAGCTGGAGGGGTTGGTATCTGCGCAGGTGCAGCTGTGCCGCAGTAACCTGGAGCTCATGCACACCATCGTGCACGCCGCCCGCGAGGTCATGAAGGCCTGCCGCAGGGCCTTCGCGGACATGCGCTGGAACTGCTCCTCCATCGAGCTTGCCCCCAACTACCTGCTTGACCTGGAGAGAGGTAGGGGGCCGGCGGGGGCTGCTAGGGCCCACGGAATGCGTGCAGGTGGGGAAGGATGAATCCAGGCATCAATATATGTGTGTTTAGATAGGTGGGTGAATTCATGGACGGATGGGTGAATGTTGATGGCTGTGTGATGGGTGGATGAGTGAAGAGGTGGGTGATGGATGGATGCACAGAAGAAAACAGACGTGGATGGGCGGGTGGATGAATTACTCATAGATACCGGTATCCCGGCATGAACTGATGAATGAATAAACATATAGTGAGTGAATATACGAGTTTCAGGGGAGCCTGAAATGGTGGCACAAATGCCTGTGTAACTAATGCATAAAGGGAAGGATGAACGAGGCCGAGGAGGCTCTTGGGAGGGGCGTATGTGACAAGACAGGAAAGCCACCACCCGGCAGACAGGTGTGCCACGAGGTAATTCTAGACCGAGGTAATTCTAGACTGAGGATGCTGTGAGATGCACAGAGTGATATAGGAACTCCACTTTCCGGAGCAGGTGGCTTGCGGGGTGGACTTGGGGGTCCTATGTACAGTCAAGAGCCTTTTGATGGCCAAAGTGCCCCAGTGGACCTAATCTCTCCTCCTGCGTGGCAACAGCTGAGGATTCTATAGCACTTGACAAAGCTTCCTTCCTTCCCGAATTATGGGGACTCTAGAGCGATCCTGTGAGGGAGGTATTATCATTTCCATTCTACAGTTAAGGAAACTGAGGCTTGAGAAGGGGAGGTGACTTGTGTGGACCTGAAGCTAGGACCCCCTACAGCAGAGGCACATTGGGCTCCGTATTAGTTTTTCCAGGATGCTGTGACAAGGTCCCACAAACGGGGCTTCAGACAACGAAACTGTATTGTCCCAGAGTTCTGGAGGCTGGAAGCCTGAAACCAAGATACCAGCAGGGCTGTGCTCCCTCTGACAGCCCCGGAGAGGATTCTTTCTTGCCTCTTCTTAGCTTTCGGTGACTGTCCCCAGCCTCAGTGTCCCTTGGCCTGGAGATACGTCACTTTAATCCCTGCCTCTGTGTCTCTGTATCCAGAACTCCCCCCTTCCTATAAGGACGCCAGTCATTGGATTAGGGCCCACCCAGACCCAGTATGACCTCATCTGAGTTCCATTACACCTGCAAAGGCCGTGTTTCTAAATCAGGTCATGTTCACAGGTACCAGGGGCCAGGACTTGACTATATCTTTTAGGGGGACGCATTTCAACCTACAGCAGGCTCTTTGCACACTTGTCTGCCCCTCGAGTTGTGAGTTCTTTGAGGAGTAGCCCCTAACACTGAGTGCAGGGATGTAGGGGGAGATCCGGAATGGTGAGTGTGTGGGAGCAAGGGTGCCTGTGGGTGTGTGGGCTTTGCCGGCCTCTGGGAATGAGGGTGAGTTTGTGATGAGTGCACAAATCAGCTGGTGTATGTGTGGGAGAATGGACTGGCGACAGATTAATGTCCCTGGTGCTGTCCTCCATCTGGTGGCAGCCTCTATGCTCGTCTGGCCCCACAGAGGCAGGCAGGGGCCCAGGAGGAGGCCCTCAGGCCTGGGTGGGGTCCTGTGCCCTGTCCCCCGGCTGCCCCCCGCCCCCCCGCCCCTAGCTGACCCAGCACCTCCCCACAGGGACCCGGGAGTCAGCCTTCGTGTATGCGCTGTCGGCGGCCGCCATCAGCCACGCCATCGCCCGGGCCTGCACCTCCGGCGACCTGCCCGGCTGCTCCTGCGGCCCTGTCCCAGGTGAGCCACCCGGGCCCGGGAACCGCTGGGGAGGATGTGCGGACAACCTCAGCTACGGGCTCCTCATGGGGGCCAAGTTTTCCGATGCTCCTATGAAGGTGAAAAAAACAGGATCCCAAGCCAATAAACTGATGCGTCTACACAACAGTGAAGTGGGGAGACAGGTAACCACCCACCCCACCCACCCCAGATGGTTGTGCCTATGCCAGGTGGCCAGGAAAGGGCCACCCAGTGTGCCCTGATGGAGGGGGGGGAGGGGACGGGCCCGATCCACCCACGTTGAGTGCTCCCGGCCTCCCCCGGCTCTCTCTCCCCTCTCTAGCCGCTTGGGGCTTGCCTGGCTCCTCCTCCTCTAGGGGGTCCACCGGGGTTTGAGTTGAGAATATTAGTGGAGCAGAAGGGACACTGAGCTAGGAGTCAGGAGCTCTGAGTTCCCATCTTGGCTCTGGCACTAGACTAGCTGTGTGACGTTGGGCAAGTCACTTCCTCTCTGGGCTCAGTTGTTTCTATCTATAAAATGGGCTGGGTCGGTGCTCTTCAGTCCCCATCAGCTGTGTTCCTCAGGCTCCTCCTGTGGGGTCCTGAGCTGAGCCTGGGTATGGGAGGAGGCATGGGGAGGGCCATGGGGCAAGAATCTTAGCCTAAGGCGTAGTCTCCTTGGCTCTAACAGGGACTCCCGCCCAGGTCCAAAACTCAGTTTCCCCTCAGCGTTTGTTACGATCAGTGTTTCATTAATCCCTCACCTCATTCCACAGAAGGTTGGGGTGAATGCGTAAGTGAATGAATGGACCTTTTTATTTTTTGAAAATGAAAAAAACATCTTTATACTAACCTGAGTGCCAGGCACTGAGGTGGTGCTTGGGGCGTTTTCTCTCCCGTAGTCTCCCCTGTGGGGAGATGCGGCTACCCCCTTACACACGGGGAGCTGGGTGCCTGAAGGGTGGAGAGTCGGGTGCAGATGGCATCTCATGGCCTCCTCCCTGAAGCCCCATCAGGCCCATTGCACAGAGGCAGCCAGTGAGGCAGAGAGAGCTTAGGTGGCTTGGCTAAGGACACAGGTGCGATGGAGCCCAGGTCTGTGGACTCCAAGTCCAGAGGTTTCCACGTCCTCACCTTCCTCTCTCATTGGTCTCCCTTATAGAAGGATTCTGGGATGTCCAGGCCATGTTTGGACAGTTGGGGAAACTGAGGCCAAGAGACACTATGGGTCCATAGCAGAGCTTGGCCAGGGACCCAGGGCTCCTGTCTCCCAACCCTGCGGGCCTGCCCCCATCCTTGGGAACTCAGCCTCAGTCCTACTCCCTGCCTGGCCTGAGCTTCGTGTATCCAGGAGCACAGCCATCTGCTCCCCCGGTGCAGTCAGGACAGGATACTCAGCTGCCGTGGCACATCGGGCCTGTCCCTGGGGCCCTGTTGCCAAGGAGCTGGTTTCCCTGGGACCATCTGCAAAAGGACCCAGTCCCCTCTCCTGGCCACAGGGCTTGGGTGTCTGGCACACAGCGGGCACCAGGAAACTCTGGGCCCCTTCCCACCCATCAAAGCTGAGGCACTAAACATACCTTACCTCTCCTTTATGACTCAAAAGCACCTCGATGCCCTTGGGAGGTTGAACATGCCCTGCATTTGGGTTCATCTCATTCCTGTGCTCTTCACAGGCCTTGCTGGGCCAAGTCCAGATTTTAGACCCAGTGGACTCCCTCATTCTTCACTACCTGGCACTGATGAAGGAGATGGAGCCCTGGGACCTTGGCCAGCTCCCACACTAACTCACTGAATGATTTGGGGCAAGTCTCTGCCGGCTCTGTGCCTCAGTTTCCCCATCATTTGAAGGCACGGGTAGGCCCAGGGGACCCATAAGCCTTGCAGCTCTGCATAGGGCAGGCAGGAGGGCAGGCCCAGGCACAGGGATCCAAGTCCTGTGTGCAAAGGAGCAGGGAATAGAACACAAAACTGAACTGCCTGCAGAAGACATCTATCTAACTCATGCCCCTCCGGTACACATGAGGAAGCTGATGGGACAAGAGGATGATGGGACAGAGTCACTTCTGAAGCCAGGGCTAGAGTTCCCTGAGCCCCAGAGCCCAGACCTCCCCCCTCCACCACAGGCATTAGACTGATTTTTCAAACCAGTGTTGTTTTGACTTTTGTTAGTTCACAAAACCCTTTCATGTGCGTCCTCTCTTTGCATCCTTGCGACCTCCCTGGAAGGTAGCGATTATGCGCGTGCTCTGCACATATAAGATGAGGGGCTGAACAGTGGAGGGCTTGCTGAGGGTCACCAGGCAGCAGAGGGGAAAGGCCAGCCAGGCCAGGGAATGTGCTTCCCCACCCCATGCACTTACTTCCTGCCTCTTCTTACTGTCCCCTCCCTTCCTTCCCTTGCCCTTCCTTCCTTCTCTTTTCTCCCTTTTTTTCCCCAGCAAGCATTTAGGGAATCCCAGTTTTGTGCAAGAGAAAAGCATGGAGCAATTAACAGGCATGGCTTTTGCAACTGCCCTCAGACCTGAGTTCAAATCCCAGCTCTCAGATTTTCTAGCTGTGCAACGTTGAGCTTGGGGCTTGGCCGCTCTGAGCCTTTGTTTCCTCTGTTTAAAGTGGGGAAAATAATAATACCTCCTGTGAAGGACTGTTGTGGTGATTAAGCCATGTTATATGTTAGAGCTCTTGGCATCTGCTGTCCCTGCAGATGCCACTCCCTTCCTGTCCCTCCCTGCTGCCCCCCACGTTGGAGGAGGAGCTGAGAATCTAGGACATCTCCCAGCTTTAGAGCCAAAAGCTCCCTCACTTGAGGCCTAGAGCAGACGATGACTCCCTGAGAGCACCCAGCATGCGGAGGGGTGGGGGCAGGGTCCCCGGACAGGCCAGGCAGCGGGCTCTGGCCGCCCAGCCCGACGCCCTCCCCTGTCTGCAGGCTCTGCGCGCCTCTCTGGAAATGAAGTGTAAGTGCCACGGGGTATCTGGCTCCTGCTCCATCCGCACCTGCTGGAAGGGGCTGCAGGAGCTTCGGGATGTGGCCTCTGACCTCAAGACCCGCTACCTGTCAGCCACCAAGGTGGTGCACCGACCCATGGGCACCCGCAAGCACCTGGTGCCCAAGGACCTGGATATCAGGCCTGTGAAGGACTCGGAGCTTGTCTATCTGCAGAGCTCGCCCGACTTCTGCATGAAGAACGAGAAGGTGGGCTCCCATGGGACGCAAGACAGGTAAGGGCCTGCTGTCACCCTGGCAGGAAAGGGTCAGCTAGGCTGCACATGCCCCACCCCAAGGCACACAGTCTGGGCTAAGCTGGCATTTGGGGGAGTGGAGTCCCTGCCCAGCTGAGGGAGGTGGCCCCAGGAATGCTGAGCAGGGGTGCCGGGGTCCAAGGGGCCCGCAGCAGAGCTCCTGGGAGTGGCTATTGTGTACCTTGCCCGGGCAGGGGCCCCTGGGGAGTGGAGGCTGGTGGGAGCTTCCTCCTTCCGCCTGGTGGGGGAGATGGGGAGAGACGATGACCGCACTGGGAGGCTGGCTGAGAAAGAAGCTGTCCCACGTAAGACAGGTCCTCAGCGTTTGTCAACTGAATAAATGAAGGGTAAATGTCATGTAACCTGGTCATTGGACAAATAAGGAACTGAGGCACAAGGGGGCAGCAGCCAGACCACAGCCACACAGGCAGTCTGCACAGAGCCGGGACAGGGCGGGGGCAACCGCTTTTCAGAAGGGCAGCAGGAGCGCAAAGCGTGCCTGCATTCTGTGGAGACAATGCTCCCGCGTTCCCCTGCCATGCACGCACCCACCTCCCAGGCCCCAGCTCTCTCCCCACCCTCCCGATCCCCAGTTTAACAGCTGGAGCTGGGGTCCCTACATCTGGTCCCATCACTGCTGCTGAAGCCGGCTTAGGACAGGAGAAAGAAAGGGGCCCAGGGGTGATTGCAGACCTACTGTGTGCCAGGCGGGGCTGCTGAGGATTCAGGGCAGCAGCATTTCCCAGAGACCTTCTGGGGGAAGTTAGTCCTGAAACGGTGTAATAGAAACAGTTCTGCAATCAAATATGATTGGGAAATTCTCTTTGGCGACTTGCAAGGCACGAGAACATTTTAAAGGCTCGGAGGAATCCCACAGTAAAGAATCTGCCTAAGCCAACGTTTCCCAGAGGTGTTTGCTGTGGAACTTTTTTATTAAGGAGCCCCTAATAGCATTCCACAAAACTAGTGTTCTGCGGGGTTAAAAGAATATTGAACCAGAGTGAGGGTGTCTGAGAACGTGTCTGGCACATAGTTGGTGCCCGGCCAGCATCTGCTTCCTCCGCAGCCCACGTTCCTGTCTCCAGGAGAGGGGGGCTGGTTTGGGGGGCTCCATCGTCACAGGCTAGGGCAGCAGGCTCTGTGAGGAGGCCTCGGCTTCCATCTGGAGGCCAGATTGAGGGGGTCGGGTGGAGTGAAGATGGAACCGGGTCAGGCCAGGGAGACAGGAAGGAGCGAGGGTCTGGTCTGAGGCAGCCGGGGTGGGTGGGGTGAGGATGGGGTTGGGGGGGGGGGCGGTGGATAGGGGCAAAGGATTCTAGAGCCCAGAGAGGCTGGGGAAAGGCCAGAGCAAATAGAGGGTCTCCCTGGATCTGTGTGTGTGTGTGTGTGTGTGTGTGTGTGGGACAGTTCCCACCCAGTTACTGCAGCTTCCTACCTGCAGGACCTTGAGCAGATCTCTTCACTCATCTGAGGCTCAGTCTCATCCTCTGTACAATGCACAGGGTTCCACAGCCCTCAGAGGGTGGCCGACAATCTCCTGTCACACTAACTGAGCAGCTCCTCTGCTAGACAGCGTCAGTCCCATGGGAAGGGCTCACTAATGGCAATCTCCCATCCCCACCCCCCAGGCTGTCAGGGCTCCGCTTTCCCAGGGCCCCCACTCTGCCCCTCGGGCTTCCCCTACAGCGACTGATGAGGAGGCCCCATCCCGCAGCACCAGCTGCCTCCCTGGCTTTCTTAGAATGCCTCCCCACGCTTGCCACCAGGCTTCCTGCCACTCTCAGCTTTCCGCCGTTCCTCTGAGGATGGGCTGTCGTGGACATCTGTATCAGTCAGCTTTCTCTGCAGTAACAAACAGCTCCAATATCTCAGTAGCTTACAACCACAGACGCTTTTCCCATCTATTTATTACATGAGGCTCTGGCAGGCACACAAGAGGGTGAGAGACAAGTGGTCAGATTGTAACAGAGAAAAGCCCAAGGGTGAGAGAAGTCCAGAGGTGCCCTGACCCAGCCTGGACATCAAGGAAGGCTTCCTGGAGGAGGGGGAACGTGAGTTTTACTAGGTTAGGGGATTCAGGAGTGCAAGGGGTAGAGGTAAATGAGCTTTGTTACTGTAAAAAGAGGTGCATGGGTGGCACCTCTCTAGAGGCTGGCTCCCTAGCTGGGGACAATGCTCTGCAGCCCTCCTCAAGGCCAGCTTGATGAACTGAGACCTCATTGGCAGTCAGTATTCCAAACCCTGGCCCTCTTGTCATGTCTTTCCCAGCAGCGCCTGCACTAATAAAACCTGCCCTGGGTCCCTGGATCTTTCTCCAAGCCCCACTCACCCCCACCCCCTCTCTCAGGCATCACTGCATACCTCAACTGATTCTAGGGTTAGAGGCCAGGTTTCAAACATTGCATGTCAGGGATCTGAAGTAAAAATGAAACTCTTCCTTCTTCCTACTACCCTTTGTCCAGAGGCCTCCAGGATAAGGCTGAGGGCCATTAATGGTGTTGATAACTAAACAAAGTCACCTTTGTTAAGTGGCTTGCCCTAAGTCACCCAGCCAGTAAGTGGCAGAGATGGGGTTCGAACCGTGGTCTGTCTGGCTCTGGGGCATTGTGTTCTTCCTGCTGTTTCTTCCTTCCCGGAACTGCTTGTAGCCCCCATATGCGGGTCACTGTCACCTCCTGACTCTCCCTTCAGGCGCTCCCTCCTTCCCACCTCATGGCCCCTTCCCAGCACAGGTCTTGGCCTCTCTTTCTCAGCTGCTGCCTAGCCTCCTCCCCGGCCTTCCTACCTCCAGCCCTACCCCTTCCATCTGTTCTCACATCTTAGGTTAGATCAGGTCCTTCGCCTTTGCCCAGGCTGTTTGTTTTCTTTGCCCCCAACTCCCTTTCCCTCCTCCCCATCTTAGATTTCTGCTGGTCTTCTGTGAAACAGCCTAGATGACCCCTCCTCCTCCAGGAAGCCTTCCCAAACTCTTACAGACCCCAGGCTCACACTGTGTGACTCTGGGCACGCTCCCTCTCCATTCCATGGCTCAGTTTCCCCATCAGAAAATAAGAGGGTTGAATTTGGTCAGCTCTAGAACTTGCCCATGCTGGACATTCTAGGATTCCCGGGTCCGCATGGCTGTGGGGACCCAGCTGCGTGCCCTGCGTGCCCCCCATCCCTGCTAGCCTGAGCCCACCTAGAGGATCTGCCAAACTGCAGTTGGATATTGGGGTCCCATAGGGGCCTTCACTGCCTTCTCCCACAGAAATGGGATTCAGAAAGAAATGCAGCCCCTGGAATCCTATGGATTCTCTGCCCTTAGGGTAGGCGGAGCATGTGAGAGATTTGGTTTCAGGACCCCACAGATTCCTGTGAGAACTTGAACGGGCTCTGCTCTTTGCTAAGCCCATTACCATCTGTAAAATGGGTATAATAATTCCTCTGACCAGGGACCCCGCATGCCTCCTAGAAGATAAAATACGGTGGCGGGGCGGGGGTGGGGGGGGGTTGCTGACTGGCACGCAGGGCCACTGGTTGACAGACCCTGTCTCTAGATGAACAGTGTGCCACATATTCACTTTGCCTCACATCCAGTGCCATTTAGTCTTTTCCAGAACTTACTTTGGGATTCTAAATGTAAAAATGTTCTTGACATTTGGGACAATATAATTAAAGATCAAATATGAAGACAGGATTGTCAGAGCGGTTTGAGGCTCCTTCAAGTATTTAGAAGAAATAGAAAAAAAAAAAAGACACCCCTAAGAAAAGAAACACGCCCATCATTTCTCGTTTTGATAAATGCCTATTAGAAATACAAGGAGAAGCGAGAAGTACTCTTAGGGAAGGGGATTACCTAAAATTCCCCAAAGATCAAGACACCTTCCAAGAGGGACGCAGCCGCGGGGTAGGGGGAGCCTGCGGGTGCCCGGTTGGGAGCATGTGCTCACCCGCTGTCCCTTTCCTCCCCACCGCAGGCAGTGCAACAAGACGTCCCACGGCAGTGACAGCTGTGACCTCATGTGCTGCGGACGCGGCTACAACCCCTACACGGACCGCGTGGTCGAGCGGTGCCACTGCAAATACCATTGGTGCTGCTACGTCACCTGCCGTAGGTGTGAGCGCACCGTGGAGCGCTATGTCTGCAAGTGAGGCCCTGCCCACCCCGTGGGGACTTGTGGAGGCCCAGCCAGGGGCCCGGAGACACCCCGTGGAGTTTTTCTTGGGAATTCCAGATGCCAGGCATGGGAGGCGGCTTGTGCTTTGCCTCCCCTTGGAAACCGCCAGAAACAGAAGGCCCAGCCGCTCTGGAAGGAGGGCCAGGACATCAAAGGAAACCGACAAGATTAAAAATAACCTGGCAGCCAGAGCCTGGGAGTGCCCACTTGCTGCCTTCCAGACTCATCTAAGAAGCCAGGGGTATGAGTTGGGCAGGACTGGCGTGGACTTGACCTTTCGCAGCCGGAGACACCAGCCTCCCGGGAAGGGAGGTCTGCCTGCCCTCCTCAGAATGTCTGCAGGCCCAGCCCTTGCAATGACCCCCGGCCCACCCCAGGGTCTGAGCCTGCTGGGCATACCACATGGAACCACTAGCTTGGGTTGTAAATGTTTTTTGTTTTGTTTTGTTTTGTTTTGTTCTCTTCCTCTGGGATGTGGGAGCTACAGAAATATTTATAAAACATAGCTTTTTCTTTGGGGTGGCTCGCCTCAATTCCTCTTTATATATTTTATATATATATATAAATAAATATATATAATGATCTATATTTTAAATAAGCTTTTTAAACAGCTATATGGAATAAATGGTGAGAGAACCCCAGCCTGCCCCTGCGGTTTGTAACCTCCACAAGGGAACTCAGAAGGTCCTGGGGCTGGCGGGGTGAACTCTCGGATTTCCAGGCAAGGCGGCTTCCCGATTGATGT